ATTTTCAATATTTTTTCGTAGTTTGTTTTGACACTAAAAAATCTTGTTAACAGACACTTATGGCATAATGCTAGACATGTAAAAATACAAAAAGTAGATTATTTATTTCATGCCATGCACTTTTTTAATACAAATGAACTTGAATCCATGAGAAATATATGACGGATTTCAGTTAAAGACATATCTCAGCAAAAATGTATATAAAAGATGACTTACAATTCATATTTAATCCATAAAATCTACAATTATTAAGATCCATCATTATACTTTTATACTGTTAGCATATATCTAGGCTACGTACAGCTTCATTTTGGATATACATTTGGGGTGACATTACGTGGGCAGTCAGTCTCGCTATCAATGTTTGATTTTCATTCCACGATGGGCCCACCAGCGGCGAGCGGTAAAGTCGCTGAACACTGGTGTTCGGTACGAATCCCAACGCTCTGGCGCAGGGCGTTATTCGTGGTTTCCTCATGTGTAACGTGTAACATGCCAGTTTCCTGGGAAAGTCTTCAGGAGCATCACACCTTTACGCAATAGCCCAGTGTGCTTTGCCATAATTAAACACACCACCACTCTTATTCAATTTCCTGTACATAAATTAAATTTTTTAATTACTCATGTACTGTATTTTTTATCAGGTTGTTCTTAAATATTTTGTTATACTCGAAATATGTGTTCAATATTGAATTATTTTTCTTCTCTTATAATTAAAAACAAGTTTATGGAATCAAATTAAAACACTGCAGCAGTTAATAACAGAACAGAATTCTTACTTACTCTTTCGCATTGTATCTAGCATTATACACAGATTTTTTCTTCAGTCAAGCTGTTTAAGTTATACCAATTAAATTACATCACACATACCTGTAATGCATCAGTTAAAACACTGAAGGAAGATGCACTCACTCATTCGATTTTGCATCATATTGTGGTCGAGAAATTGTTCTTTCCTCACGGTGGCATGTATCAGTTTATTAGTTCGCAAGCGTAACCCTGACGCTGCTTCAATACATAGAATTACGTTTGGGATGTAAAGAAAGTAACCCAAACATGTGAATGAAATGGATAGGCGAATTTATTACTAATCATTCAGGTACTCATATGGTAACTGAGTTTAAATATCTCACTACGATGTAAGTCATACACAAAATGAAGATTTGATAAAAAAGGATAATGAGAAATTTTTCAATTTAATGTAAAATAGCAGTAAAATGAAAAAATGTAATTACATCACTATGTATGAAAATACATAAAATTCATTAAAAATAGTTATTTTATCGGTTGTAAAGAGTGTTTTCGCCAAAACACGTATTAACGTGTCTAATTCTGACACAAAGATACACAATTGCATTCCGCCTAGGTATAATAGCAAATTAAAACACATCAAATCAAAATTGATGCAACAAAATAAACAAACGCCAAGACTACACGTCCCCATGACGTCATGCGTATGTGGCATAACTTTCTCCCTGCACTGCGCATCGCTCTTGGGCCCCCCCTGGAAGCACACAGTAAGCCTGCCTTAAGTGAGAGAAGTTGTGATGAGTGGTTTCAAAAGTTTAAGAACAGTAAATTTGACATTGAAGGCAAAGATTGGTGTGGAAGAATAAAAGTGTATCAAGATGCAGAATTGGAAGCATTACTGGATGAAGATTTGTGTCAAATGCAAGTAGAATTTGCACTTACATCAGGATGACTCAATTTTACATCATTTAAAATCATTAGAAATGATTCAAAAAGGCAAGGAAATAGGGTTAAAAGCTGAGAAATGTTTAACACTGATTTATTGCATGTGAAATGCTGCTTGGCCAGGCATAAATGAAGTGGTTTCTTGCATCATATACTTCACTGGTTACGAAAAATGGATCCACTACGATGACCCAAAGGAGAAGAAATCAGCCATGCTTCAACACTAACAGACAACAAGAAAAAAAAGAAAAAAAAAGATGTGTATATGGTAGAATCAACTTGGTGTCATGCATCATGAGTAGCTCAAACCAAACGAAACCATTACTAGAGCCCTCTGTCAAACACAATTAATCAGATTGATCCAAGCACACAAAATATGCCCACCACTGCTCCAGAAATGACAAAATTATTTCCTACATGATAAAGTTCATCCACACATTGAAATGGCAATCAAAATCTACTCAGAAATACTTAAATGGGAAGTTTTCTTCTTCCTGCTATATTCACCAGACATTGCTTCTTCTGATTACCACTTGTTTCCATAGATGATGCATGGCCTGTTTCACCAGCGCTTTACATCATATGAAGATACCAAAAATTGGATTGATTTGTGGATAGCCTCGAAAGATGCAGTATCCATATGCTGCCAGAAAATGAGAAAAATAGTGGCTAGGGATGGGGACAACATTTTGAATAAAACATAATGTACAGTCTTTCACAACATGTGCCCAATTTTTGATTAAAAACAAGGCACAGATTTATTTGTACTCCTAATATAAGATATATAATATGAAAATAAATTACTGGCAAATTATTAACTTAATTGGCAATAGCATTCTAATTACCCCCTATCAATTTCTGATTTTATTTGTGTAAATTCCTGTTCATTCTGCGTCATTTACATCATTATTTCACCTGCAATAGTTAATTCAAAAGCTCCTGTCCAATCACCATTTAAAACTGAAACAAAGGAACTGAACTTATAAACACTGCAGTTGTTTTATATGCAATTTCTTTCACTGCTTGCTCTTGAAATATTAAATCATTTAAGAAACATAATTAACAAGTTATTAATAATAATAATAATAGTAAAGCATATAATTAGGAATATCTAGGATAAAAGTTTACAATTGGGTATCCCTTTGTTTTTTTCGGAGATTCTTTTTTGACGCCGAGGTCGGTATCAGAAAGGCACAATTCCGAGATGGCCGCTACACAAAACCAAAATGAGAAGTCAAAGAACTGCATGAACTCGGTGTTGATGTACACATTGATCTATTTTCACTTAAAAAAAGTCAGAGAATTGCACAAACTAGGCATTGCGGACTGCCTTAACTTTGTCCATGTATACATTGATCTGTTTTCACTTAAAAAAAAAAAATTCAGGAATCTAAAACAAAGTTAAAACTATCATGGTAACCAAAAATGGGGTTTCATCGCCAAAACTGAACAAAATTTGTCACCAATAAAAAGGGCACCCAGTTCTACACAAGAGTTACATCCAGCTGTTATTGCTAACCATAAACCTCACATATTAATGCTTTTTGTAATTGTAACAATTTTTCTAAATAAATTAAAAAAAAAAAAAAGGTGATAATTTTATAGTCATAACTAGGCAACAAGAATACAGAAACAATGACATAAACTAAATTTTTTGTTCAACCAGAAGATAAAAGTTTTTAATTCTCTAATGCAGGGCTTCTTAAACTTATTTCCGACACAACCCCTTTTTATCACTGAGGTTTTTTTCGCAACCTCAGGACCCCATAATACTTACGAAAATTTTGTGGGACCTCATACGCATTGCGCCTCGAAACGTTTTTTCTTTGTCCGTATTATCTCATCTTTATCTATTTTCAGATACATTGTGTAAAAATATATTTGGTAATTGTAAAATTATTATAATAAGTTTAAAGAAATATCAAAACTGCTAAACTTTTTGACAATCCTTTGCTGCATGTACCGCGACCCCCATGGGGTTGTGACCCACAGTTTAAGAAACTTTGCTCTAATGTATTCCTTTTTACATCTGTTAAATGCACTGCCATTTTAATGTTACAAAACTATAAATTATAAAATGTTACACATACATTTTTCTACCTACAGAAGAAAGTAAATATTTCCCACTGTTTCCAGTTATAAAAGTACATTTAAAAAGAAAACTGGAGATGAGTTATAAATAATAAAGTTACAATAAAAAATCAAAATGGAAAAGCTGTTTTTCAGAAGAAAGTAACTGATTGAAAAAATACTTGAAGAAATGCTGAGAGAAACAATTGCACTGCTTCTGTTTATCATTTTGTTTATGCCACATTCAGATTTGCTTAAAATGTTTATAAAAGTTCAAAACATACACCACATAAAGAAAGAATTATGCTTTCAATGATTTTTCACATGAGAGGTATTATTATTTTTTAAATGAAATTTAATTACATGAAAAGATTTTATTTCAAAAAATTATTAATTATAAATACTAACAATGATACCTTGTTTCAAATTTTAGCCAAATAAATACACTGTAGCTTATTTTGATTTACCCTTTTAGCTATTCACTGACAATCTTATGTACTATAAAGAATATCACTAAAATAATTCAAAAAATACTTTTAAAAAAATTAGTCACCATTTCTATTAACAAGCAATTTATCAAAAACTGCAACAGTACTACAATGATACTGTCACAAAACAAAAGTCAAACAGGTTTCAAATCTTCATTATAAAAATTTTGAATCAGTAGCATCCTAATTTTAGAAGTTCTATATGCATCACATGAAATAAGCAGTAAAACCTAACTCTACACCTTTAATTTGTTGTAGCATTATAACAGAAATTTTCACAATATGTCTAAAAATATACAAAGTACATATTCCTAGTATGTATTCTGAGTGCATTCATCACCACTGAGTTCATTCATGTCCATAGGAGTGATAAAATTTTTATGAATTTAATTTAAAGATATATAGACTGTCTTACATTAAAATACAACTCTAATCAATTCACATATTATTTCTGTATTTAATTTCTAATTAACATTAGGAGATCTGAATCAAAATCAGTAATTACATGTATCTAAACAGATCACTGTACATGGTTTTAATAACACTAGGACGATTTTTTCATATATGCAGACAGATGAAAGAAATAAAAATCCATTATTCCATTGAGGAAAACTTTGCCAATACGACAAATAGCATGCAGGAGGAATAAACATGAAAAGCAATCTAGTTACAACTGCGAGTATTCCCTCTCGGATCAAAATTAAATTCTTCGGAATATCACAGGTTATATGACATACGCACACTTACTTTATTTACTTTCGGAACATCAGAAATGCAAGGTCCAGGCTGCACCGGGAGGTGAGTAAGCAAAGTTGAACTTGACCTATATAAACCGTTAAGCCTTTCTCTAACACAGCTGAAGATTTTTCATTTTCCCCGAAAATGAAACTTATGATCCATTTTGTGACAATTTCATTCAAGGAAAAAGGCAGATGATACACATTTCGCTGAACAATACATTTAGAACACACTTCACATACGCTCACGTAACACAATGAATAACTATGTAATCTCTAACTCGCAGGAAAGGATGCTGAGAGAACATTTCTAAAGAGCTCCAAGATACCTTCACCCCTTCAGGAATCGCCGACATGCGAAGGAGGATCTGTGAGGATGTTCTATGGCTGCCAGATCAGTGGCGGCTTACAGAATGCAGACTATTTCGCCAAACAATCCCCTTTCCCGCCGGAAAGGTACAATTTGCTTCTGAGGCTGCGCTTTTTAATGTACTTATTATTTACTACTGCAATTTTAATGTTTATTCTTCATACTAAGAACACCTTTTTTGGGAAGAAGGAGAATTCCACAAGGGCTATCCATGTTTTTAAATTTTGAATTGCTATAAAATAAATTACAATAAAATAAATACCAAGTTAAATGTTATTTTTCTATTATAATTCTGATACTGAGAGAATAAGCCATACTTTTTGGAGGAAATTTTATGTGCTTCTAAATATTCTGGAGTATATAACTCAATCGATGCTTAATATGCAGTATTAAAAATTATGCATATTAGTTGAATTTATATAGAATCCAATAAGTGCCATTCCTAGGCCATTGGCTGCCCGCTTACTTTCCTAAGATTGACGTCCCCAAATTGGGAAAAAAAAAAAAAAAAATGCTCAATGATTACTAAAATTTTTATTCTATACTCACTAAGTACTTACATACGACAAATTATATAAAAAGTGCTTACATACGACAAATACTTACAATGAATTTAAGGAATTTAAAATATTTAGACGTGGTATACGAAAAGTACGGCCGCCTCTGACTTTGGTCGCCCGCGTACTTTTACGCGCTGCACTCCCGCTAGGAACAGCACTGAATAGAATTATACTAATCAACAGATTTCTTTTTTCCCTACAGGTTAAATTCTTTACATGTAATCCTAAATTTTTCCTAGCTATAAACGATGATTAAATTTCTTTTGTAAAAAATTTTTAAGCATTTTATACAAGTTCATTCTTTCCATTATTTTCAGTGTGACAAAAGTGTTTATCTCGTTGAAGTACGATATTTTGATATTTTAAGATTTCAAGAACTATAATGCTTGCTTAAAAAAGACATATAGCCTTACTAAAAAACAATTTGAAAACTTTTCGTTTATATATAATTAAGACTTAATTAGTTCTATTTAAATGATACAGGTTCTGTTGAATCGTATTCATTAATTTATTATTCAGTTAAACACTCAATAATCTTTTTTTTTTTTTTCTTTTTTTTTTTCCAAAACTAAGATATTGATATGAATTAATGTTTTTCTCTTTTAGGCGGGAAAATTCTCTCGCAAAAGGAAATAGGATAATCAATTAGTCAATCAAATAAAAATTTTCAAAGAAATTTCTTAAAATTCTTATAATATTTTGTTGGATTATTATTAGTTTTAAACAGGCGGTTTAATCTTTTTTGGCATGCATTTAGATAGCACTTTTTATTATTTCTAGCTAATTTTCATGAGTTGTTTTGTATTCACTTTCTCGCCAAATATGTCCGATAAGGTATTAATTTAGTTACCGGAAAGGCATTTTGAATATTTCAAGAATATGAAACAGATTCATAGCAATGTATGCTCAAGACCGTTATAAAATGGAATTTGGAATTATTTGGTGGTTAATATTTTGTGATAATGATTTCAAATTCCATTTACATTTTTTTTTCTTTTTTCTTTTTTCTTTTTTTTTTTTTAAATACTGGTTTAAAAAAGCGACGTTTCGCTCTCTATATCACAAATCCTTCACATTTTTTGTTGCTACAACTAACTTCACTTTTCGAAATTCATATTCGGCTTTCCTTCAGGCTATAAACTTGTCAAAAGACATTAAGATGAGCTTTTCTGATCAAATATTGCCTTACTCCAATATTCAGAATTCACATTTTTGATAAATTTTGAGAAAGAAATTTGATTTTTTTTTTTTTTTTTTTTTTTGTGGTGTGTGTGTGTGTGTGTGTGTGTGTGTGTGCGCGCGCGCGTCTTTTCTGATGTCTTATTTTTTCCTTTTTGCTCTTACATCACTTAATCTGGGATTATTTTAATTATTTTAGAAAATATTGTGTTGTATTTCACAGGGCATCAGTGAAAGGTCTCTCAAGCCTTTTTCTGTTTTGAATTTTGCCATTAAATAAAATGCTTTGAGCACCATTTTATTTCATTAGAAACTTTTAAATGTTCTTGATAAACAATTTCAGCAACTTTCCCAATAAATTTCGTTTTTTATAACTTCACAGTAAAATCAAATCTGCGAATTTCTAATCGCATGTTTTCCCGAATGAGCATAATAACATTGAACTGATACAAATTCTAAGAAATCTTTATTGAAGAATTCAATCTCATGACTTTTCATATATTAGCCGTTCTTTCTCTATGCAAAATAATGTTATAAACACACATGCCTTATTTATTACCGATGGTTTTTTGTTTTCAGTCAAAGTAGCCTTCAATGACTTTTGTGACATGATTTTCCAGGTCAAAAGATAAAACGCCGAATTTAAGATAAATACTTTATCCTTGGATAAAATAGTTTGACATATACATAAACGATTTTCCGAAGTAATGCTAGAAAGTCATTAGCTCTGATAAATAATATCAGAGTAAGAAACGTGAAAAATGCACAATGTACTCACCGGGACTCAAATTCCGAATCTTCCGACAACCAGCTGGGCGTACTTTCTAATTACCTACGTTCCTGATCTTCCAGTTGCTAGTTAGATGTGCTTCTAATTACACCACGATGGCATGCGGTAATAAAATTACTGACAAATGGTACCTCTGTTGCAAATAACTATTCTATGCCAGACTTGTAAGGAAGTTTCATTTTTTCAGAACTGCATTGCTACGCCACAATTATAGGGACGCATTTCTCATGCGGAACATAATATATGAACTAACTATATGGATTTTCAGAGCAGAAAGAATTGGAACTGATTGCAATATAGCCAAACTCATTACGATTGTCTAACTAAAAAGGAAGGATGCCATGGCGGAGAACTTAAGTTCTCCAAGAAAAATTTAAAAAAGCTGGTAAAATGGCTCATAGTCACGTGACGAAAGTAAAGATGGGCAAAACCGCTCTTTTGTGAAATCGTATCAGAACCGTTCACTTGCTGAAGGCTCAGGTGCGAAGCACATAGAGAACAGGCGCCTACGCTAAAAGCCTCATCCTGTATGTAACGCGTAGCGAAATGACATAGCTTTCCTACCATAAAATTAGTAAGTGTTAGCTGAAGATTCTAAAAAAAGAATTCTCAAAAGATGTTGCGATGATAAGAGCCTTGCGTATAAGACCTTCGGAGAAGAAGGTAGACTGCATAAGAAGTAGAAGAGATTAAGTTCAGAAAATAGTTGTGTGAATTTCCTGCTTTCCTATTTGTCTGTCATAGAAGAAGTGCTAAATCTTTCCTAATCTCCGGATTCCGCGAAATTGATGAGTAGCATAGCTGCTTAGAAGCCTGTTTGCAATTGTTCTGCAGAATTCTTTGCTGATCTGATTTTGCCAATATAGGAGATGATGGAAGTTAAGAACAAGTTAATCTTTTCATCTTGAATCCATTTCATTGCGTCGCTGAGGTCTTTAGGGGGTGGAGTAATTTTACCTTTTAGTTTCTCGCTGTAGGTAGCTTGGCTGGGGTTTTTCTGCGCTGGGATTTCGGCAGTTTTGGAGTTAGGGAAGTTTTCTGCGGAGAATTCGGAAGCTTTAGACTGGTGAGGGCTGCTTTTCTTTTCGAATCTTTTCTTATACTTGCTGCAGCCTCTATAGTTGCTGACGTGGCAGAGCCCGCAGAAAATACATTTAAACTTGTCTTCTGGCTTCATGTTGCATTGGTTGCTTCGATGTTGTTGCCCGCACTTTACACATCTGACGGGATTACTGCAACAATATTGCGAATGATCGAATTGCTGGCATCAGTAGCATTGGACTGGCCTTTTCTTGGGATTGAATTTCTCTATGATGATGTTAAAACTGAACATATTATTAAGCTGGTGAATCTTATTGCCTTCAGGGGATCTTTTTAGATCCAGTAAGTAGATAGGGAGTTTAATTTTCTGTCCTTTATGGGTTTTGGAGGACTGCTTGACTTTTTCTATTGGATATTTCCTGAATTTAAGGTCTTGAAGTATGGCATCTTCTTTAATAGTAGTGGGGAGGCTCTTCATGATAACTCTAATTGCCTTCTCAACTTCAAACTGGTATGAATGGTAGGGGATCTTTTTTCCAAGTAAGAGTTCGTTCATCACACTGTAATCCTTCAAGTTCTTCGTATACACGAAGATGGATTTTTCCTTTCATTTGTGATTCATGAGGTTCTGTTCAATTTAGAGTGAACATTTCGTCTAGAGTCATCCAATCAACCTCGTCTTGTGAGAATACAATGGGTGGGAGCGGGTTGTCAGCGTTGGCTCCTCCTTCGAGGTTTTCCTCGGCGATTTTCCTAAGTACTTGAAAACGGTTTTCCTGTGGTATCTCCATCGGGATCGGTTTTTCATGAATTTTAGCAGTCTTTTTTGACATAATCCATTTTCATTATTAAGAATGGTAGGTACTTGCTCCGTTCGTTGCTTCTTACTGAAGAGTTTGGACGTTTTCATTGCGTGTTCCATCGTAATTCTATTCTGATCTTCAAGGGTTTTGGCTTCCTTTAATCGTTGTTCAAATTCCAATTGATGAGTCAAATAATCAGCTCTAAATTCCTGGATAAGTTTCTGAATTTTTTCGTCTCTAATTCTTTTCGCATTCGTGATTTCCTTCTCCGAACTCATATTTTCCTTTTTAGTTTTCGCTTTTTTCCTTAGTCTGGGGTCTTTCAGAAATTCCTCGCGTCTTGAAGTAGATGGCACGGGCAAAGTAGATAATCCAGAATCCGTACAGTCGGCTAGCCTCATTATCCGTAATTACTGTCCTAAAAAAGGACATGCTTGCCCTGTAACCCTAAGGGTCACTCTCAGAAGTCAAAGAAAATACTCAGTAAAAACTAAAAGTAATGTAACTGACTGCCTACGGGACTTTGTCGGTTCGTGGTAAAATGAGCAGCTAACCAAAGTGCATCCAACACGCTCGGAGTCATAGCTCGGAATGTTCGCTTGCTGAAATGAATCGGTTCTTTTTGATGACTCACCTTCCACTAACAACAGTTAGTGAGGATGGAATGAAGAGTGCAAAGAACTGAACGAGCAGTGCAAGCAGAGAGATCGGAGCCGGTTAGAGAGCTTCGAGCGAAAAGCCAAAAGAATAGAAAGAGCTGTGAGATTGGAAAAACCGACTCAGTCAAACGCTAATATTCCCTGAACTGATTTCTTTTCACTGAAGTTTTAGATCCCCTAACACCTCCTTTTTACACAGAACCAACGATAAAATTCTAGCATAAAATTCAAAAAGCTGGGAAATGATAAAATTAAATGGGAGAATAATCATTCTTTTCTCTTCTAAAATGAGAATCGAGCTTACCCAGCAGGCATCCAACAAGAGCTCTCCGTGAACTGTAAAAGAACTACAGTTTTCAGTTACTCAGTTTTCTGGAATCGAAGTTAATTCATTCAGTAAAATAAATCGGTTCTTTGAATCAGTTCTGGAGCGAATCATCCAAACTCCAGACGGAAAGGACCCTGGTTCGTATTCACTCCCGCATGCGCGAATGCAACGTTACATGCCAGGGAAAGCGCTCATTCAGCTGGCCGTTCTTTATGATCTGATTCCATGTTTATCAGTGTTCAGCCAACTTATCTGCGTGGTCACAGGTGACAGGAAGAATCATGAGATGCTGAATCGTCACAATAAACTGAACTGAGAAGATAATTGCTGGATGGAGTATTCAAAGAAATTACAAGAGATTTCAATATCTTGTTATGCTTTTTACGGAAAGAAAAAATACGAGTCATTTAAATTACGATCACAGTGACATAAATAAGGAAGAGTCCCTAACGGGAGAGAAAAACATTAAAGTTTTACTTCTGTTACTGCTTGGAAAGACGAAATAGAGATTTGGATGGACAGTGCCTTTGAATTTTTTGAAGTTAGATTCTGAATGGAGTCTGCAGATCACTGTTCCCGATGTCGTAATGCTACTACGAATTTTCCTTACAAGTGCTATTTGTTTAGTAGAAATTTTTCTAAATACAAATTCATTAAAAAGCACCTAAGACCTAAAAATAAGTTTCTCCCGTTTAAGAGAGCTTTCTGGTATCACAAATAAAACGATTTTAGAAATTCTGGTATCACAAAAATAGCAGCTAGAGTAACTATACAAACTTCTAGAATTTCATTGACGATTTTGCTAACAGGAAAAATAAGTATGATATGGACACACACACCCCTCATGACTTCATCGTATATTAAATTATACACATTGTTTGCTACACTTCATATTTCTTGCCTTTTAACTTTTTGTATTACAATTTATTTTTTCATAGTGTTAAAAAATTTTTAAACGGGAACCACAGTATCTTATTTGCTTTTAAGCAATATCTTAAAGAATTTTCTTTTTCTATTTATATATATATATACATATATATATATATATGTATATATAATAAAATTTCAGTTGTTGGTCTTTGTGAAAAATTAGATTCACATTTCTTACTTTATATATATATATTAGCAGCTACGCGGCCAGCTTTCGTCTGGCTTTTAAATGTACCGGAAACATGCCTGAAGGGAATACCAAACGTTAAATTTAAAAACTGGGCAGAATTTTACTCTGCAAAACAACTTCATAAAAAAGTATTACATATAATAAAATTACAATGAAATAAGCAATATCCCTTAATACAAATATTAAGGTACTCTTCTGTTTTGAGGGCCGTAAAAAAATTGCAGCGAAAATGTATGCGCAAAAGCGCCAAATCTAGCAAACGCGCCCATTTATCAGCCAAATCTAGCGTACGCGCTGGTTTCAGATTGCGTAAGTTTATATATAGTTCTATATTTCTTAAGACGCCATTGAAATACTAGTTTAATTTTTAAATCCTTTTTTGATTTTAAATCCTTGTTTGATAGTCTATGGATTTAACAATTCGGCAATAGAATTTTGGGTAAAGTGCAGGATCACTCACTGCTTGACGCGTTTTTAAGAATTTCACATACTCGGTATCCATGTGCACATCGACCTATTTTCACTTAAAAAAAATACCAGAATTGCGCAAAAATGGCACTGCGCACCCCCTTGACTTTATCTATGTACACATCGGCCTATTTTTCATTTAAAAAGTAAAATTAAATTGACAAAAATGCTAATTGTTTTTACCCTTGTAAAAAGCGAGTCAAACAAATAAGTGAAGCGATTCTCCACTTCTGAATTTCCGATTCTGAATATGTTTCGAAAGAAAAGGCATCATTCATTATAGAAAATTGCGTTTGAACAACCAACCGAGATGAAGCTTTAGCGATAGCGAAATAACGATGCAGGCATCCTATTCAAGTTATGTTTAGCAATTTTTATATAAATTATAATAATGATCTGAAATAGTTATTTACTCTTATGCTTCCATTCAGTCATGTTTAGCCTTTTTCATATAAATTATAATAATAAAAAAATATTATATGAAATTAACCTTTCATCTAAATTAAAACATCAATCTTAGATAATTATTTACTATTATAGTTCCTTTCTTGCCGCAATTGTTTTTGGCAGCATTGGCATCAACAATAGTTTGGCGATTTTTTACGGCCCTCGAAACCGAATAGTACCTACAACTTCATAAAAAAGTATTACATATAATAAAATTACAATGAAATAAGCAATATCCCTTAATACAAATATTAATTATCCTAATAAATAACCAACTTCCCATTGTCTTCTCTCAACAAACGTCCAGTATTCAAGAAAAACATTAAATTTAAAAACTGCACAAAATAATCGCCCTCATTTTTCTAAGTGCCAATAGTGCTGATTTTCAACAGTCAGCAGTCCAGTATACAATTGAATGAAAAACTGTTGCCAAAGCCACATTTCTAAAAGAACGAAACTATTCAAAATGATGCGATAAAACCAAAAAGATAAAATTTAAAAAAAAAAATATGATTCGAATTTTGAAAAAATCGCTTCGAAGTGCACTGGCTCTTGTCTAGATGCACCTATATACCAAATTTCGTAGCCCTGGGTCTATTATAGCTTATGCGCAGCACGAACGAAAGACGCACAGACTCTTTTATTATATGTAGAACACACATGTAACACATCCGATGCCAGTTTTGGAAAAGTGGTTTTTTAGAACGGTTATATAAATAAAGTTAAAAATGCACTCAAAATAT